GCTATAAACACAGCCAGGATGCCCTTTGTTATAATTTTAAAAAATGAGTTCGCATTTCACAAAGGCACATAATAACTGAGTATTCAAAACCAGCACACATTATTCCCTTTTTGTTTTTTTCCTCCATTCAAAGCACAAATCTGCGGCAAATATGGAGCTGTTCCCTCCACACAGCAGCATCCTCTTGACTTTGCCCAACCAAGGACCGCCGGGAAGAAGCCTTTTCGGCCACCATGAGGTAAACGAGGATGCATGTAGTGAGAAATACTCCTCACACCACCGCTGCCCAAGTCCCCCTGATGCTGCTGGGGTCTGGTGTCACTGCTTCTTCACCCGGGACCCCACGGCCCCAGCAGCATCGGGAGACCACAGCGGGCGACCCACGCCGATGGGCTGCTGGATGGGGGGTCACGGGGCTGTAGGCCATGGCATCTGCAACCCAAACCTGGACCCAAACCCAAAGGCCCACCATCTATCTGGACCCTGCGTTGGTAAAAGCACTGAAAAGGGTTTGCACCACCAAAGGGGCTGTCTGCCTGGTACAACACCAGAATGAGAGGCGCTTTGGTTTCTGCCCCAAAACCATCCAGACCTGTTATTCACAGCTCTTCCCATGGCATTCGTCGGAGAAGCTGCAAGTCTCTTACACACACCATCGCATTTATTCGCAGAGGGTGAAAAACAGGCTTAGAAGCATTATCCTTGTTTTAGAGGCAAGGAACAGGTCCTGATTTCTAAATACGTTCATGTGTCCTGAGGCAGCCCGGGGCTGGCTCCCCGGTGGTGCCGTGCAGCAGCGGCGCGGGCGGGAGACCGCAGCAATAACGCTGCAGAGCCCAGGGCTAATCGTCGCGTCCCTGCTCGGGCCCTGCTCACTCCACATCCTGACAGAGGAGGATTTATTTGCTGCGGGAGGAATTTGGGAATTCGGCCTATATATTCAACTCACACATAGATCACGGATGTTGTCTAAATAGGGTGGCAAACGCAGACCCGGGGAATACGCACAATTCAGTCATGTTGCCTTTGAAAAGGCACTGTAAAAACTTGATTTGAGATTTTGAAATACGGCATCCTTTTTTTTGTGCTTTGCAGTCTTGAGGGAGCAGCAGGAGCCCAGAGGTGGGTGGCTGTCCCTGCGGCCCCGGGCAGGCTGGGTGCCCCCACCCCGGGCTCCCCTCCCACACCCCAGCTCTGCCACTCAAGCACCTCACGGCTCATAAAACGTCGTGGTGCACCTCAGCGGCAGAATGTGCGCTTGTCCACTCGGGGAGCCGCAGGCCACGGCGTGGGGTGCTGCAAAGGGCTCCTGCCCCCTCAGCCCACCCACCCCTCGGAGGCCACCACCGACATTTTACCTCCGGGGGAGAAAAACCCTCCTAGGAAGACTCCAAACTGGCACTGGCCTCTCAGACAGGGAGGGGTGGGGTGGGGGGAGATGAGGGGGTCCTTTTTGCCCCTGTTTGCTCGTTCATCAGCCAATATGAAGGCGTTTTTCCTCCCGGGGCCGCGCAGCCCCGGCCCGGCCGGGCGCAGGGACGCGCCGTCGGGCGGCTCTTCCAGGCGGGGCCCTCTTGGCTCCACAGCTCGGTGGTTTTAAACAAAAGGGCTGGGGTTTGGGTCTGTTGGTTTGGTTTTGTTTTTATTTGGTTTGGTATTTTTTTTTTGTTTGCCTTTTTTTTTTTTTTTTCCCTGAGAAAATAACTGCAACCCCCCCCTTGCAAGAATATTTATATATATATATATATATATAAATATATATATTTTTTTTTTTTTTTTCCCCCTCCCGGAGAAAATCAGCTCCTTCCCGCTGCTCCCTCCCCACCATGTGCATAGCGCTCCCCACTCTCCCCCGTGCCTCCGGGCTGGCATACGTCCAGGACAGAGGGTGGGTTTGTTTTTTTTTTTTTTGTGTTTGTTTGTTTGTTTTGTTTTGTTGGTTTTTGTTTTTGTTTTTGTTTTTTTCAATTTTATTTTATTTTATTTCCACTGCACATTTCGGCTCCGGTTTCCCAAACTCTTTGATCTCCCCCCCGCTGTCTCCTTACCCGGAAGAAAACCCTTTGCCCGCTCAGCTGGGAGCTCGGCGCACACGTGGGCGCCCTGGCGCGCCTCCATGCTCCTGCCAAATTTAGTCACACAAAGGGCCCGGGGAGGGCCGGGGGGGGGGGATGAAAGGGGCCGCCGGCGGAACATCAAAGGCGCCGCCGCCCCGCCCCGCTCCCGCCCTCCCCCATATAGGGCCGCCGGCAGCGGACGGCGCTTCGCATGCCAGGGGGGTCGTGTCCGCTTCTCCCCCCCCCCCCCCCCCCCCATTTATTGCGCCCAGGGGATGGGGGGGTCGTCCTTGGGACCCCCGTTCTTCCCCTTCTCCCCTATCAGCCCCCTCTGAAACTCTGCGGGGGCCGTCCTGCTGCCCCGACCGCCGGTGGTCGGTTTCCCCTCCCTTGGTCGTCGTGGTGTCCCCGTCCCCCCGCCGTCCCCCTCCCCGGGGAGGGGCGAGCCGGGCTGGCCGTCGGCGAGTGCTCAAAGTGCGGACCCTCTCCAGGCTGAAATGCAAAAAAAACCCACCCACCCCCCCAAAAAAAAAAAAAAAAATCACTCTAAAGCGCCAAAACCCGCTCAAACGACCAAAAAAAAAAAAAAAAAAAGCTACAATGCAAAAAGTCAAGAATGAAATTAAAAAACCAACCAAACAGAAACCCAAAAACACACGCAAAAAAAAAAAAAAAAAAACCAAAAACAAACAAACAAACAAACAAAAAAAAAACCACAAAAAAACCCCACGCTAAAATGAAAAAAAAAAAAAAAAAAAAAAAAAAACAACACGTAAAACGCAAAAATAAAACCCTGGTAGAGCAGTGGCCGGTGCGGAGCGGGGTGCCGGCGGGCAGCGGGCACGGCAGCGGGTTCCGCCGGGGGCACCGCGGGGTCCCCCCAAATCCCCACTCCCCCCCCTCCAGCTATGCCCCCCCCCCTCCCCCGCCCCACGAACTGCGAGTAAAGCGACAGCTTTGTGCTGTCTCCAGTCAAATCTGGCGTTGGAGTTGAGGTTTCCTGAGTTTATCCTCTTGTCATAAATCATTACGGTCTCCACCTCCCCGCCGCCCCCACCCCGGCCCTTTTCTGCCTTCAAAATCCTTCTACCAAAAACCGACCCGGGAAAAAACTCCAGCCCACATGAAGGGGGAGACCCCGGGACGGCGGGGACGCGGGGGGGGGGGGCGGCAACTTTTCCAGAGGCGCCCGGTACTGGCGGAGGCGGGTGGTCGCGCTGCCCGCTCCCGGGCCGGGCCGCCCCGTCGGGGGTAGCGGGGCTGCAGCGCTCGCCGCGGGGGGGTGGGGGGAGAAAGGGACCGGCCCGGGACACGCTCCCCCGGCCCCGGTGTCCGCCCAGCGCCGGGAAAGAGAAGGGGGGCGGCAGGGATGCGGAGGCATCTCCGCGCACAGTCCGACCCCCAGTTGCCGTTTTCCTCAAACAGCCGCTTCCCCCCCCCCCCCGCCTCTCCAGCCGCCGTCGGGAGAGAGGGGCTTTCCCTCCGCCCGGGGAGCGTTGCACAATTAAGTCCCTTCCCAGGGCTTACATTTTTTTTTTTTTTTAATTTTTATTTTATTTTTCTTTCTCGATTATTTATTTTACGCACTTGTTTGGCTTGACAAGTCCATCCGCCGTTTCCCACCACCCTCTCCCTTTCTCGGGGTTTGGCGGGTCTCATTTCTCAGCTCTATTTTAATTACTCGTTCGCGGGCAGCGATGCTGAAACAGGGGTGGTGGCGTGGGCAGCCAGGCTCAACCCACGCGTGGGCAGCCGGGCTCAGCCCACCCGTGTCCCAGCCGGCAGTGCCGCCGCTCCGAGACCAGCATTTGCTGAAAACGGATTGAGCATCCACATGTTCCCGTTTCTGCGTCTCCCGGCGCTTGAAGGTTTAGCAACCTCGCGGGGCATGTGCGAAGCATGAAGCGCACTTTTCCGATGCCAAAATCATGGGAAGTTGTTTCCTGCAAAACGTGCGCCCATCGCGTTCGGAAAAGAAAAGAAGTTGTGGATCCTGGCGTTTCCCAAACGCAGCGCCTGCTTTTGTTTGGATTATTTTTTTCTTTTATTTCTTTTTTTTTTTTTTTTTTTTTTTTGGTTAATGTACTTATACCCTGTACCGGGGCGATGCCGTGTCACCCGGGAGCTAACGGGGCAGCGCGACTGCTGAAGGACCGGGACGGGGCGGGGGGTTGAATCTCCGCCACTGCTCCGGCTCCATTTACCGGTCTGAAACCGGGGCGACCTCACCCCGGCTGTTTCGGTCCCTGTCCCTCGGGGGCTACTGCACGTTCCTGCCGGGCACTTGCTGGATTTAATGGGGAGGTGTTAATTCTGCCCTTCGCCCGAAGCGCAAACGCTCGCACGCTCCCCACACCCCAACAGCGCCGTGTGGCAGCGGCACCCCCCCCCCCCCCAAACACACACACCCGCCCCCCAAAATGGAAAGACTCAGCAAAGCAGCCCTAAAAAAGCAGCTCTTCTGCCTGGGGATGCGGCGGGTGCCTGTGCCCTCCCGGTGGGCTCCTGCCGGGGGAGGGAGGGGGGGTGGCAGTGTCCCGGCGCAGGCCCCCCCCCCCCCCGCTGCGGCACAAGGACATGTAGACACGCACAGACACACAGACGCTTCTCGAGGCAGCAGGAGCAAAGTTGGCCCGGGGGCGGCCCCGCACCGCCGCCCCCCGCCTCCGCTGAGCCGCCAGCCCCCTCCCGCCCCCCCCCCCGGCCCCGGTGTCAGTCACGGCGGCGGCTCCTTTCATCTCCGCCGCCCCCGCCCCGCCCCGACGGCGGAGGGCGGAGGGCGGGGGGGGGGGCGGGAGGGCGGGCGGCCGCGATGCTGAAGTTGCGCCGCCGCCCCCCGCGTCCCGCCGCCCGCCCCCCGCGGCCCCTGCGCCGGGCGCGCAGCGCGGAGGCGGCCCCGGGGGCGCGGAGGCGCCGCGGCGGCAACTTTTTTTCCCTGCCCGCGGGCGCGGAGGGAAGCGGGGGGGGGGGCGCGTCCCCGCCCGCTCCATCCCTCTCTCCCTCGCTCCCGGGGCTGTTTCTTCCTCGCCCCCCCGCCCCCCGCGGTGCCGCCGAGCCCAGCCCAGCCGTGCCCCGGGCCGCGGGCGAAGCGGCGGACAAAGGCCCGGTGGGTGCGCGCCGCGGGCAGCGCCGTCCCCCGGGGCGCCCCCTCCCCCTGCCCGCCCCCCCCCCCCCCCCATCACCCCCCCCAGCCATTTTAACTCGGGCCCGCCCGGGTGGCGGCAACTTCACTCGGAGGCGAAACTCGGGCGGGCTCTGCTCTCCTCCACGTCCCCCAGGGTGAGCCCGGGCCCGGGGGGGGGGTGGATGGCGGGGGGGGGGGGGGGCGGGGGGTCGCGGCTCCTGGGGGGCGGTCCCCGGCGCGGTCCCTGGGGGCGGGCGGGACACACGCGGGTGTATTTCGACTTATTTCGGCGGGGCGGTGCGGCGCGGCGGGGCGAAGCTCCCCGCGGGACCGGTGCCGTGCGGGAGCGGGGGTACCTCGGCCCCGAGGGGGCGGGCGGGGGTCTCCAGCTGCCGAGAGCAGCCCCGAGGACTTCACGGGATTTTTCCTTCTTCTCTCCTCCTTCTCCTCCTCTCTCCTCCTCCCTCCCTCCTCCTCCTCCTCCTCCTCCCCCCGCTGCTCCTCCCGCTCCCGCTCCCCTTCCCGCGGCGGGCCGGCGGCCGCAGCAGACGCCGCGCTGCCGTGAGGATGCCGCAGCTGCCGGGGGCCGGGGGCGGTGGGGGGGACCCGGAGCTCTGCGCCACCGACGAGATGATCCCCTTCAAGGACGAGGGGGACCCCCAGAAGGAGAAGATCTTCGCCGAGATCAGCCACCCCGAGGAGGAGGGCGACCTGGCCGACATCAAGTCCTCCCTCGTCAACGAGTCCGAGATCGCTCCCGGCGCCAACGGGCACGAGGTGCGCGGCCGCGGGGTCTCCGCGGGGCAGCGCGGAGCGACCGCGGGGGCGCGGGGTGCGGCGGGCTCCGGGCGCCCGCGCCGCCGCCACCGGGAGGGAGGAAGGGAGCTTCGGCGGGACACCGGGGAAACCCCTGAATTTCCCCTAAAAAAACCCATAAGTCATCCCACTCCCGATTCCAGAGGGGCGGCGGGCAGAGCCGGGCGGGCTGCGCGCCCCTCCGCGCCTGGGGATGCGGATGGGGGGAGGGAGGGCGGCCCCCTCCGCGCTTCGGCCCGGTACGAGAAAGTTCCCGCGAGTCCCCCGACGGCGCGGTGGTGTTAGACCTCAAGCAGCCATGAAATTTCCTCGGTAAAGTCCGCGGGGTCGGAGCATTCACCGTAAACTCTTTACGGGATTTGTATAAAACTGTTTGGGAAGAAATGCCCGACGCTAAAACAACTTCAGGCTGAGCGGAGAACCTGCTTTTTAAATTTTGTTTTGTTTTTTTTTCTTTTATTTGTTGTTGTTGTTGTTTTTATCTTTTTTTCTTTCTCTTTTTATTTTTGTTCCTAAAAATCTGGTAATGAGGGCAACCTGATTTTCATAATTATTTTTGGTATCTTTTTACCAAGAGTGTTTTGATTGCTGAAACTCCAAATATTTTCCAGAAATAAGCCCCTTTCATTAAATGTAGGGTGCTTCTGCTGGAAATGCTTTGCAAAGCCCCTTAGTTATTAACATCGTCATAAAACGATCGTTTACACAGACATTTCTGGTACAGTTGCCGTCCAAGCTACTTAAGAGGGAAAAGAAAGATGGTTATCTCCTGCCCTAACTTTTTTCTTTCTACAAGAAGCTGTAGCGCTGTGATCGATAAATGCTCATCCATACAATGACTTTTCTTCTTTTTCTTCCTCTTTTCTGATGGTGGATTCCCTGTGGTCAGGTTTCCAGGCAGACTCAAGCACAGGATTCCTATCATGATAAAGGCAGAGAGCACCCCGAGGAAGGTGAGAAGCGCATGGTCCTGTCTTGCGATACTGTCCATCTTGGTCCCCCTGTGGTATTTCAGTTGTTTAGAAACTGATAAGTAGGCCAAATGGATCTTCACTGAAGAAATAACTATTTTTAGGATATCAGCTTAAACACACCTGTTTCTTCACTCATACAGTGCAGCCGAGTTGCGTGTGTTCAGAAACTCTGTGCTTTTGTCCCCATAACCAAAGTCTGTTGTTTAAATCTCCTCTTCCAAATCTAAGCGTGAACAGACCTCTTGCTTTTTTTTTTTTTTTTATTTTTTTTTAATGTACCAGATGGTTAATTTTGACTGAGGAGGACAGAGGAAATAAGAGCATTCACTGAATATCACTTAGGAAGCTGGACACCCGTACAAAGAATGTGTGCTGTGAAGGATGGAAGATTATGTTTAAAATTAAATGCTTATAATGAACTAAACCAGATCATAAATTTCATATAAAGACAGATGCAGTTCAGTCCTGGTGCTTTCCAGGACTCTGTGGCGATTTTGATCCAAATTGGTCATTAAACAGCCTAAAAGCAATAATGTCCGTGCTCGTAACACTTTAGTAGTGAGGGGGAATAGGTCAGCTCTGCATGATTTTCTTTTCAACCTTTCATGCTCTTACAACCTCACCTTCGAGTAGTGTCACTCTCAATGGTGATATAGGTGGGAGAACTGTTTATCCCCCTTTGCAGGACCTGGACCCAAATTCTTTATTTTCCTACAAAATAGCCTCCTTCACTTGGCTTCCTTCTTGACTGTAGTGCCATGTGTGTTCAACAGCTTCTCCCCCTGTCCCCTCCCAAATCGTTAAGGTCTCCTTCCAAGCCAGCCCCTGCCCTCTAATTGTTCCCAGTGAGCATGGCCAGAATGAATTGTTCGCTGCGCTCAGTGGCTCAGTGAGAGGAGGAAATGATTATATCTAGTTATCACTGCCCTGTTCCTGCCTTTCCTAACAATAATGTTGGAAACCCATACTGGCAGTACTTCTGAATCCACGAATCCTAGAGTGATGGATAAAATGGGGGAAAACTGCTACTTGAGAAATGTGATGTCATTGCTGATGTTTCTGCCTTGATTTGAACAGGGACTAGCAAAATAAATTGCTTACTCTGAGGCTACTCTGTATTTTAAGGATAAACTCACTAAGCATACTTGCTCCTTTAAGAATTAACTATTCTCAAAAAAAAAAAATATTACAAATTGCTGCAGACCACTTTCTGTCAGAGGTAATCTCCACGAGTAAGGAAATGTTTGCATGCAGAACATTTTTATGAATGCACAGTACCTGTTTAAGTGCTCTAACTTACAAGAGATGTGTATGTGGGGAATAATGTAATCATTGTTTCCTCTTCCGTAGGAAAGCATCCAGACAGTGGCTTATACAGCAAGGGACCATCATACTCTGGTTATTCTGGGTATATCATGATGCCAAATATGAATAACGACCCGTACATGCCTAATGGATCTCTGTCGCCACCCATCCCCAGAACAGTGAGTTATCTCTTCCAAAGACCGGTTTTGGCGAGCTGGGTTTCCTCCTGTTCGGTCTGCAGTGTGTGTTCACACCAGGGATTTTTTGGGTAGCTTCAGTCACGGCGAAGGTTGCGCTTCTGCTGCTCAGAGCCTCCGTCCGGTGGAGTTTGAGAGCTCTGGGAGGTGTTGGTCAGGATCGCAGTGGAAAAGCTGAGATTAACATCTGTGGTGTCTGACATCCTTTGAACAGGGCTGGGGGCTTTGTGGGAGGGAGCCCTGGTTTACGACTGTAGGATAATGTATGGCGGAATGATGTAAATTCCGTCTTTGTAGTGACTGGGACAGATGTGAATTTTCTGGCTTTAACTCGTTTGTTGAGGAAAATCGAGGCTGGAAACAGAACTGCTCAACTTGCTTGTCAGTAAGATGAAAAGATTGGGTTCTTTTTTTTTTTTTTTTCCTTCAGATATGGCATTGCTCTCTGCTGATTGATATTTATTTCTGCCATCAGTTGCTCTGCGTGATGGCTTTATGTATCTGGCAGTATTGCTTTGAAACATACTCTGCATCTTCAGTCACAAATTGTGGAACGGTTGTTTAGGAATTAATTGCAACCGTGATGCAGTAGTAACAGCTTTCCTTTACGTTGTGGCAGGCACTGATTCTTCCAGGTTGGTCTTTTAGTTTCCATTGGTGTAGATGCACTTCTGATGGTTTTCAATGTACTTTTAATTTTGGGTAGTCAATATGCATTTATTTTTGTGAACCTCTTGGTATATCTATAGAGCATTGGAGATGCAATGTTAAAATTAACTGTGGAAATTATATTAGTATGACTGGAGTGGTGCGGGAAATAAATTTGCTTGTAGGCATCCTGCTGAAAAAAATGACACTGCAGTTGTGTGAGCTGTGATATGAGAAGTTGGGTGCTGTTATTTCCCTGCGATAAAGCAGGTTTTGGCTCTTACATTTTTACTTGGAGGTCTCTGTCAAACAACTGGCATTATTTTGCTCTCTGAAGTTCTTGATTTTTCTTCAGGGTTGTGGCTTTTGACTTCAAAAACAAAAGAGGGGGCCTAATCTCTATTGCTAATTTGACAGTAGCAAAACAGGTTAAATTAGTGGATGTTCAGATTTGGAATGACAGAGTGGTTGTGCGCTGGGAAACACACTATCTGCCCTTTTTATATGTCACTGTTTACGTTTGAAAGATGCAAAACCTCATGCAATATATTGCTTTCTATAGCTCTGGGGTTTTTTTCCGTGTATAAATTACAGTTCAGAGGCCTAAAGCTATTTAGGGTGAAGCATGTTGACCATGGTCTATTGATATTTGTTGTCGTAAAGGCTGCTCTACAGAAAACTTCAGTTTGGATGTATCGTGAGGAAAAGGATGCAGCTTCTCAAGAGGGCACTGAGTCTCAAACCTGCCCCTTTTTGGACTGGGAAACTTCAGACCATTTTTTTTACACCCTCTTTCCCACGTTACCTTCCTGAGGAAGTCCCTAGTGCTGGTGCAAGGCTTTGAGCAGCAAAATCCAGTTTAATTATTCACTGAGGATTTTCTCCGCGTATGCGTGCCGTGTGGTTGCCGCTCTTTACTGATCCGGCATCGATGCTCCCAGAATATCGGCTTCTTGCAGAGGTTGTCTGCCTGCTCAGGTACTTGAGGAACCGTCCTACATGGGCACGTTGGAGGGGAGGAGGGGGTGGAAATGCATCTGCTTTCTAATTGTAAAGCTGCCTGCGGAACCTCTGAGGGGCTAATTTAGTTCAGTGTTGCTCCTGCATGTTAGAGCAGCACCACTGTTTCGGTAAAATAGTGCTGTTGCAGGGCTGCAGTGTTGACATAAGCCTGGAGTTCTTTCAGTTTAACCACAAGGCTACACGCTTGAGTTATTAAATAATTTTTTTGTTTAATCGAGCTATAAGCTTTGTTAGTCTCCTAGCTTGACAGCTGGGTTTTGATGTGCGTGCGATCAAAACGCCGCATCCAGGAGGCGACACGCTGGCTCACTTCATGGCTAACCACAGCTCCAGCGGCGCGCTCCTGCCGCCTGCTCACCTTTGCAGGGTCCCAACTGCTGCCCCGCAGGTTTGCTCTTGCTCCCCTTTTTGAGGGGGGGACGTGCCTGGGCCGGGGGGGGGCCAGGAGCAGCCGAGGTCTCCCGTGGGGTGTCATTCCCTGGGCCATTTGTGCGTGGAGCAGCCCTGGGGTGTGTACCTGCGCCCTGCCATTTGCATGACAAAGCCGCTTCGTGTTGATGCATCTGTTGCCTGGAGGTGTTAGGCAGGATTAAAAAAACGCCCTGGGGGGCTGAATCTTTTTTTTTTTTTTTTTTTTCTGCCTTGGAAGGACCCGGCTGCCTTCAAACCGCCCGGGGGATGCACCCCGGGAGAAGCGTGGCCAGACCCAGGACAGGGACCATCTCTGACAGCTTGCTATGCCGGGGCAGAGAGACCATTCCCTTTCTTGGCATTGGAAAAAAGTTACTTTCACCAACGTATATAGGAAAAAAAATACCCTCTTGTTAAAGAAAAGACAAACACTTTACATTCTTGCTTTGTAAAATTAAAAAATAAAATCTGTAGTCAGACACGACGTGTCTAATAAGCCTCAAAAGAAGGAAACTGAAGTGTAATTTCAGTGCACCTTTTTGGGGGGGAGGGGAAGAGGGTATGTGGGGAGGATTTAAAATCTTTCAAAATCTGCAATTGTTAGAGTGGTCTCATCTTCCTCGATCTCCTTTTTTTTTTTTTTTTTTAAATTTATTTTTTTAAAATTCATTTATTTGTTTACTTTGCTGGCAACTGATTTGCCTTTTACAAGTTGTATTTGTGGGATCAGGGGGGTGTTAATGACAAGTTCAGGTATGAGCCTTGTGCCGCAGTATGTGTTCTTATCAGATAGCTGGGTAAGTGAAAAAGCAAAGCAGTTGGTTTGGGTGGCTGCAGGAGAAGTGGCACGTGATGGTGCCAAAACCGCAGTAACACCTGGTGAATGTGCATCCTGTGTGCTCGAGATATCTTCTGGTTTCTCAGCATCATGGGGGTGCTGAAGATGGTAAATGGAGACAGCTGTTTGTTTTCTAACTTGTGGGTTTTTTCTTACTTTTCTGTTAACAAGACTAGTTTCAGGGTAGCAAACCTTTCTCGTCTGTGTGATAGGAACGTGGGGACAAAGGAGGTAACCAAAGAAGAATAATTTCTCTGTGTCTTAAATTCATCCAGAAAATAATTTTGTCTTTGTTCCTCCCTCTTTCCTAATGAACTAAACTTTCTGTGGGAAGAGAGAGGATTTCTGCAACCTCCCTTTTGTCTGCTGTTATCTGTTCTTGAGGTCTGGGTTTATTTCTTTGTGGCTAAACTGTCTCTTTGTAGCAGCTGGAGGTGTTAAATAGATTGGAGGATACAATCTATAAACACCTTACAGCAACTTGCAAAACACAACATATCCATTTGAAAATGATGAGGAATTCTGCTAAGAGGGTTTGAACACAAGGAGCAACATTTATACAAAGGACCCCCCTATGTTGCCCAAGTTTTGGATATTCCTTGTGTGCTTCTGCATGGCAAGGGGTATGGACATAGCTCCTGTCTTGAAGAGCTAACGGCCCAGGAGAAATTGTGCAGATAATGTGGAGAAGAGGAAGGATGAGGGTAGAACTAGCAAGAATGACTGGCTACAGATCCTCAGTAGGAGGGTTTTGTTTCCCTAGCTGCATCTTGCTGTCCCTCTGAAAGCAGGCTGGTTCACTTGCATATGGGGAATTTTTGGGACCCCAAGGAGAATGTACGGGAGCTGCACAAGGACACGAACCTGATTTTTCATAATACTGGCTTTTCCTGAGAGTTCGCTTCTGCTGACTGTGCCATTGTAGGCAATTGCTGGGACCCATGGTCAGCTGAAAGCTCCCTAGTCCCATATGAAAAAGGCTTTGTAGCACGATGTTAGGGGGCAGCTCCTGCTCCCATATCACCCATCAGAAAGCTTTGCACTAATTCCCAAGCTGGCATGAGAGCAGGATGCTCTGAGGGCCATAGGCAGATAAGGTCCTGTCGTATGTCTCTCTCGTCCCCCTGCAACTCCAGACCCGTGCCTGAGGAAATGGGTTGCACGGGTAGCCGAGGGGCTCGGCGAGCCGGAGCTGCTCACCCGGCACTGAGGATCTGCTGCTTCCCCCTGCGCCGTGCGTGTCTTCTCCATGAAGTCGAATAATGCTAATTAGCTCCTTAAATAACTTTGAAATCGGGTGCAGGGGGGCACAAAGCTTCCCGACTCTACGGAAGCAGAACTTGCAAGGAGTTTATTCGGGTTTGCACAGGGAGGAATTTTAGCACTATTTGCTGAGGGGATCAGTGAGTCGTGCCAAATGCCAGCACCGGGGGAGAAGAGGAATCTGCTCAGTGCTAATAGAGGGACCTCGCTGCTGCAAACGCGTCTGTCAGCTGCTCTGACTCAAGCGTCACAGCTGATCAGTCTAAGATACGAGCCAGGTCTCTCTGAAACACAAATCCAAGCCATGAATGGTCGTGGGCCGAGTTTCAGTGGTGCTTTCTTTCTCCTCCTTAGTGAAATAAATTCTTCTTTTGGAAACGGGGGGCAGATGAAGTCACTGTGGTGCCCCTGGGTTGGCCTTTGTCTGAAGCTTGATCTGGTTGCTCGTGATAAGATGTCATGATCCAGGCAGAGCCTTACGTACATATGTCTGTCATTAGTGTGGTCCTTGGGCACTTACTGGTGAAGAAAACAGCCTTTCTGTTTATTAGCTGCATTTTCCGTGTCAGGGTGATGCAATTAGCAAATTTATCTAATTGTGAATGGGCAAGGGGGAAAGAAAATGTTCTCCTGATGTCTCAGTCCAGAGACAACAATTGCATGTGTGTGGCTTCAACGGAGGTGTAATCAAAAAACCCACCCATTACAAATCATCAAAGTTGGAGCTTTTCTATATCAATATGTGTGTATGCTTATGTCCTAAATTTCCTTTTTTCTATATATCTAGGAGGTAATTCAA